GCCTTGTGAGTCAGTACTGACGTCCTTGTCGCCTTGGGTATCAGTACTGACGTCCTTGTCGCCTTGGGTGTCAGTACTGACGTCCTTGTAGCCTAGGGTATCAGTATTGAAGTTTTTGTTGCCTTGGGTGTGAGTACTCTTGACGTCGGAATCCTTGACTAGCTCGGGAAATGGAGGCAACACCTCTACGGTTTCCGTACGGCTGGGACGAATGCTCAGCGCGGGGCCGTATCCTTGTACGGAGGCAGCGGTATCCCCCGCGGCAAAGGTTGCAGCCGACGAGACAAGCGCAAGAATGGCAATTGTCTTCATGAGGAAAATTCAATAATGAGTGCAAGGTTTGGGGGGCTTGTGTATTTGACACTTGACAAAAAACAGGGTCAATAATTGATGCATTACCTTACTGTATCTTCGTTCAGTCTGTTTTCACGTTTAGTCGCAAAGCAAACATTATCCATGCAAGTGTGTCAGGTTCGATCCCCGGATTCCCCGGATTATTTCCGCAAGGATTTATCCGTCCCTCCCCTGGGGAATCCGGATAACAAGGTCCGCGTACGAAGACGAGGACCGAACTTCGAAGAAGATCGGTCGAAGCACGAGGTATGAAGCGTTGAGCGAAGTAAAAACTGAAGATTGCACACCGCCCCTGGTCGAGCAGGCGCGTTACAATTGGCGAAGCGGTTCCATAACATGTGGTTCTAGTGTCGGCCCTCGCGGAGGAATGTCTTAAAAATGATAATCCAAACTCAATTAACCATGCAAGTGTGTCACAAACTACACCCACCTCCGAGATTAATTGAGTTTGGATTATCATTTTACACCCACCTCCGAGACGGTAAAAGCTCATTGGTAGAATTTTCAAGAATTAATTTAGCATCTCTCGATGACCAAGACGCTACCTCCAGTGTGATTGGTCGTCCCACCATTTCTGAGCATAGTGTGATTTCCAACATGGTTAATTGAGTCTGGATTATCATTACAGTGATCCCTCAACGTTTAATCGCTTTTCCAAATACTACGTAGTATAAATTTTCCAAGTCAGCCTATTGTACATAGAACCACAAACATTAACTTTGAAGGGTGACTATCTGCTGGTCAATGAAGCAAAAGCTGAAGTGAATGGCCCAAGTTCCGAGGTAGAACCCCTGTATGGGCTTAAAGTAATCCGGGGAAGCACCCACGACCTTTGAGTTAAGACACACTCCAGTAGCCTGTAACCTGGGACTCCGTCCTAGCCCCGGTGAGTACATCCGATGCTAAATCGCCGGGAAGTGCATCTGAGTGGTTTGCGATAGCTAACCACTACAGAGAACCGAGGATGAACTCGCCCACAGTTGTACTTCAGAAATATAATTCAACTTGAGGTTGAATTGCGATTCAACATTAAGCCAATCACAGCTCTACCGCTCGACAGACCTTATTGGAGTAAATCTTGCAATCAAACACCTTTCATTGGGCTATTCAAAATAATATGATGCACGAATTTCAAAATCTGACCATGTCAAAGGGCACGCAGTCTCGACGACGTGTGCCACCTCGACGCAAGCCGCTGTTGAAACCGTACCGTCGTTCAACCCTGCTTGCAAAGCGAAAGCAACAGGGTTACACTATTGGGACAATAAAGGCTCTCTTACAGAAGCAC